AATGTTTTCCTTCCAGGTCCCAGTCTGGCCATAAAGAATGTCTGATCTGAAAGCAAGAACTGGACAGAACAGGACATTCTAATGTTTTATTATGATTTTGTCAACAGTTCCTTCAGAAAGAATCCTCATTACAACTGATCCATTAAAGAATATCAGTCATTTTCTCCAAAACAGTCCTATGTTTAGAGCTGCAAAGGAGGTTAGAATAATTTAGAACAAAATCCTCAAATTACTGATGAGGAAATAGGTCCAGAGAAATTAAGTGACTTGCCCAAGGTCACCCAGCTGGTAAAGGGCACAGGCTGTGTTACAGCCCAAGATCTCTGGCTCCCAGGAGCTGATTTTTCCATTGCATCATTCAAGATAGCACAAGATATTTTCCAGGAATTTTGATAAACCAAAAAAAAAAAAAAAAAAAAGTGGCATGCCCTTTTAGATCTCAAGTCCCTTCCTGTAAGGTAATATTGAAGATACTATTTATTTAGGGGGCACTGGGATAAATGACTATAATATGTCGAATTTTTTATGGATTTATTTTTGAACATAAAAAGCTACCTAAACAATGGCAGAAATTAAGAAGATTATTAGATGTTCAAAGTTTTCTAGAACAACAAGGAAACCCTCTCCCACTGCTCCTTCTTTGGTACATTTTCACCTGTGATGTTTCAACCTGCACCACAGGAAAAGCGCTGCCTTTGAGGCTTATGCTTCAGTGATGCAAGAGGGATGCCGGCTGGTGAGAAATGCTTATTTGGGAGGGAGGGAGGAAGAGAAAGTATTTCCATACCATTTTTCTTTCTTATTTTCTTTTATTTTAGAAAGGACAAATCCTGAGCACATTTTCCAACCCACGTAGTAACACAGCTCACATAATTTTGGTTATGGCAAGGTGCACAACACAAATCTAGCAAGCTTTCAAAATCCATTCGCCCAGCCTGACCTGATGGGCAGTCACTTGAGCTGTCAATGCTCAAGAAAAAAAAAAATCTGTGTTTGAGAACATAGCAGCATTTCCTCCAAACCTCGGTAAGGAACATAAGGCACACACTACCCAAGCCCTTCTGGTGAATCTCTACCGTCTCAGGATTTGCAAGCTGTAGCCCACGTTTTCCTTTCACTCTGAGCTCCCTCAAAGCCAGGGAGGATCAGTTTTCCTTGATCTGACATAGCTTAGGTGCTTTGCAAACTGCAGGTGCTCAATAAAGTGTATACAGCCCAAGGCACATTCAAACCAAATGACCCCACAACAATGCCAGCCACACACAACACCCTTATCTTCTCCCTTCCATCAGTAAGAGAGGTAAATGTAAGAATCTCGAGCCAACCCCATCCATCCGGCGACCACGTGCGGTCGCTTCCCTCCTGCTCCCGGATTTGGAGACAGGAAGGAGGAACGTGGCCTCATAGTAAACCGTAGTAAAGAGAGGACGGAAACAAAATGGGGCACGTCACATGGTCACAGCCTGGATTTTTCTCAATTAAAAATAAGAGGAAGTGTGTGTTTCCGGCCCCTGTCAGTGGGCCGGTTGGACTTTTTCATTCTTAATTCTGGTCTAGATACACGAACGTGGCCGAGTGCACAACACGCTCTGTCCGGGGGACGCGGTGCGGAGGGGGTACTTGGCTCAGTTCTGCGGGAACCAGAGGGACAGGAGTGGGAGACGGCGACTCCGTGACGCCCGGCCCGCCACCGCCTGGGGAACCGCGACTCAGAGCCCCACGCCGAGGCCCCGCCCCGCACTGGGCGGTGACTCGCGCTGATTGGCTCTGGTGGGGGCCAATCAGCACCCGCCCGCCCAGGGCCAGTAGCCGCAACGGGGTGCCCGAGGGGCGGGGGTTCGCCCGCCACCGCAGACCACGCGGCCCGGGAAGGGGCCCTGCGGCCCCCGACGACCCGGGGCCAGCGGGGGCGGGAGACCCGAGGGCGGCCTCGCTGCAGATTCCCCCACCCCCAGCAACAGCGACTTGCAGGAAGGAGGGGGAGCCGACTGCCAAATAAAGAGGGAGGAATGCAGGAAGCGGAGGTGACCCGGAAAAGGGAAAGTGCCAGGGCCGAGAGGGTTCGCGCCAGCCAGAGAGGCCACACAGCAAGGGAAGGGAAGGAGGGGGGGCGGTAGTCGTGGAGGTACGGTATCCCTGAAATCACAAAAAAGAAATGGAATGAAGGAGAGAGAAATGACCAGATTCCTTTTTTTTTCTTTTAAGGGAGGCGGGCATAACAAAGAATGACAAAAAGCAAAAACTAAACCTAAAAGGGATGACTCGGCTCTGTCTGCCCAGCTGCCGTTTCAAAACTAAAAGGCAAACTGATGCCTAAAGGTAGCGGGGCTGCCACGAGCCAGTCTGAGACGCCCTTTTTTGCCTTCCTTCTTGGGGTCTCAGTTCTACTGTGTGCGGAGAGGAGGCCACAAGCACTGCGAAATTCTAAAGAGGAGCCAAAAAAGGCCAACGTCAGGAACAAACAAAGGGAGTGGGAGGGGGTAGTGCTGGAAAACTATTAATAGCAGGTCAGAACTAAGGTCGAGGAGACACAGATTGACAAGAGAAAGGAGAAACAGAAAAGGTGCTGGACTGGATGTTAAGCGGAAGGGCATCCAACAAGTCCTGGCTCCTGAGCTCAATGCTTCACACGTGTTGTCCTTTACTGAACAATGAAAAATACTAAACAGGCCGAGAGGTTAGGAGAAAGAGCACACCCTTCATGGTACCTCTTTTCCTTTCACCACGTTTCAGGTTTTACCTGAGAAATGGGAAAGAGAGGCAAAGAGGACAGTTGCTGAGGAAGGAAGGAAAGCAGTGTTTTCACAAACATACTCAATTCGGAGCAGAAGCTGTTTGCCACTCACAGGTCTGACTTCTTTCTGTCTCAGATGATAAGTGACTATCAAATAACATCTTGAAACTCAACAGAATTGAGGACGTAAACGTGCCAGTAGCATTTGGTGCCCCACTTAAAACACAGGCACACCAACATTTAACATCTTACACACTGTAGAATTTTTCTGGCATGGTGCAAAGTGCGGTCTATTGTTACTCCACAGTTATTAGGGATATGGTTATATGATTATTTCAGAATATTATATTTTCCCAAAGAAAGCTAAGAATAGAAGGTTGGGGTTTTGTTTTTTAATCTTCCACACAAGGAGAATTTTATTTTACAGCCCTTTTTAAAAATGAGAATTCTGTTTGGTCATCGATTTTCTATAGAGCAAACATCTTTATTCTACTCTATAAAGAGAAACCTATACGAATTAAGGAAGCAAGTGAGAAAAACTTAACTGTTGCTTAGTCTTTTCTTTCATCTTTTAAAATATAAATTTTAGTTCTGCTAGGTTTGTTTCCTTCAAATTCTCATTATTTTATCAATGAAGCACTTTATAATACAAATGGTTAAAGTGTTACAGCCCAACTCCTAAAAACATCATTTAAAATAACCAAAATTTTTACTGTTGACGTTGATATCTGCAATTAAATCTCCATTCTAGTTAGTGATGAAAACAAATGTTGAAATAAATACTGATCAAATAAATGCTTTTTATAACAATCACCTAAAATCTTAGTTTGTTCAAATACCTTTATCTTGGTTCTACAAAATAGAGAATGATATGGGTCAAATATTAGAAACAAAATCAAGGAGACTGTGATCACATAATAAATAAATAAATATCTATCTATAAGAACCGAAGGCACATATGAATGGACACATATTAAGAAAAAATAATGCTTTTCAAAGCTCATTCTGTGAAGCATACATAAAATTCACAAGATAATCAGTTTGTCAGAATAAAGTGTTTCCAAATGCTGGAAACTTCTGCAATGCCAACTCATCACATTATTTGCAAACTATACTCCTCTCTTCTACCCGCAATTATGACCACCAGAAAACTGGCTCAACAGAACGAAGGGCAGGCTAATTTCCTATTACAACTGTTTTTCATTTTCAATACAGCCTTAGCCACAGAAGCCAACTTTCAACATTTACTGAGGTGTCTACCCATGAACTTAAAGGTGAACAGCAAATATCCTAAAAGTAGAGAGTACATGATTTAGCCCTTAGATCCAAGGCAAAACAAAACAAGACCTCCATGTTCCTGACTTACTATCTCTTCTTTTCAACATAAAAAGGTTAAGGAATTTTACAGAAGACACACAGTAGCCCCAAATGATATGTGTGACATCTGAGTGCAAGAAGAGACAACTGTAAGCCAGACATCCTGGGATGAACTTCCATAACTCTTAACTAATAATGGGTCCCAGATGCATGCAGAGTTGACTGCAAGCCCTGTCTAACAGTGGCCATGTCATGGATGGTGGGTCGGTTTGTGAACATTTCACAAATCTTGGTACAGGAACAAAAAGAAAATCTCACTCCTAATGACTTTCTTGAGAGACAACAGGAAGGTACTTCTCTTTAAATATGTAGGTCTTAAAAGCTCTTTCTCCCGAATCTTTTTAGGGCAGCACAAATAGAAATCAGTGTTTCCCACTGCTGTTTACGTTGCCTTGGTATTGTGAAATCACAGAACAAAAGTACACAGAGTAACTTGATAAGATCACCCTTAAGGGGTCTGAGAAACTATCTTAAAGGAAGGGTTTTGGCTCCTGTATTAACAATTTTTTTTTGTAGAATTGTTCCTTCCAGGGGCTGACCTAAATATATAGTCAAAAGAAAACCTTGACATACAGATTAAGTTTCTCATATATGAACTTTACAAACCTCAGAACTGGCATTATAGAATATAAGTTTTTAAAATACTACAAAAGTACTTCACTTGGGAATTCTCAAATGAAAAAGCTCTCCTGAGGCTGTTCCTACATGTTTATTTGACTCTCTGCCAGGTGTCATTGTGGGGTGGGCACCTTGTGTGCCCTGAGGATCTAAGTGCATTCTCCCTGAGGAAGCAGTGGGAAAGAGCTGGAAGGGGTGGAGGCAGAGAACAGAATTCATGCACAAAGTTAAAAGCAGTTTTGTCTTCTGACTTTGTCACCATGAAACGCACCTGCTGTGATGTCCAGTTGAGCTACTGGCGGTCCTCTGGCTGCTTCTGGAAACTGATGCTGGCATAGGCGCTTAAATCCTCACTGGAGCGGCGGGTGGAGCTGCTCTCGCCGCTGCCCAGGGGCTGATGAGGGGGCGTTGGTGGGGGAGGCTGCGGTTGAGGGGTGCGCTCCTGAGGGCGCTGCTTGAAGTCCTTGACCAAATCCAGGTCTATATAGTTAAGACCATTCTCCAAACCCCCGGCAGCTCCACACACTTGGGCTGACTCCTTGGGGGCTTCCCCAAGCTCCCCAGGCTTCAGCCACACATTCTCAAAGGAAGCAGAGCTGTGGCGTTTCACATCCTCACTGCTGCTGCCGCCTCCGCTGCTAGCCCCTGCTGCAGCCCCCCCTCCGAAGGGCACTGTGTTGCCCACCCGGGTGGCACTAGGTGTGGAGGAGAAGGTCTCGGAGCTATGCCTCCTCCGGCACCCTTGTGGGTCTGCACGGATCACTTTGGCACTCTGGTTGCGGTTGGGACTGAGGTTCACCCGGGTGAAGGCACTCATGCCCCCGGGTCCCTGCGGGCCCCCTAGCAGGGATGATCGGGCAGCCAGCTCGGCTGTCCCTTGAGGTGCAGCAGGAGAAGCAGAGGCTGCTGAGGATGAGGAGGGAGCAGCCGTGGCAGCCCTGGGCAGGCTCACCTCCTGTGCAGCCATGCCTGTCCGCATGTCGGCATAGCTGACAGGGGCAACCGGGGAGGTGTCCACATAGCTCTGACGGGGACAACCCATCTGCATGGTCATGTAGTCACCCCGGCTGCTGGGCACTGCCCGGGTGGGCCTGCAAACACTAGTAGCCCCGGGAGGTGTGGGGCCCACTCTGCCCATCTCAACCCTGGAGCTCTCCGGCCAGGCTGCCCTCCGGCCCGGCCCCAGGTCCATTTTCATGTACTCCTCAGTGCCAGTCTCTTCCTCTCTGGGAGTTGGCTGGAGCTGGGATGGACACCTGACCGAAGGCGAGCTGTGGGAAGCCATGGGGCCAGATAAATAGCCAGGCTGATCACTCCCAAATTCAATATTCACATATTCCCCTGGGCTTTTGGGCTCTGGAGGGTGTAGCAGGGGCTGCTGCTGCTCTCGGGCCCGAGGTAAGGTGCTGGCCTTGGGATCCCCCAGGGATAGCCTCGTGGGCCGAGCCAGGCGGCTGTTGGTCTGGGCAGCTGTGTCCACTTTCCGAGGCAGATGGGGCTGCAGGACCTGATGGTGGGCATGCGGGAGACCAGGCTCCAGCCTAGCCCCACAGTATCCCCCACCAAGGCTGTCGCTGCTGGTGGAGGAGGAAGAATCTTCTGCTGTTGCTGCATAGAGAAGGCGACCAGAGCTAGAGGAAAGGCGGAGGTGGTGGTGCCGGGCACCCTCCTCCGGCTCCCCAGGACGCTGGGTGTGCTTAAAGGACCTTGGCAATGAGTAGTAGGAAAGGACTGGCTTTTGCTGGGGGTACTCAGGGCCATAGTAGCAGCCGGAGGGGCTGCTGGTATTGGAGTCCCCCACTGGCGACATGTTCATGTAGTCACCTGTGCAAGGCAAGAGCTTGCCACCACTGCTCTCCACGGGGGGCTTGGGGTGGGGCAGGGCTGGAGAGTGGTGGCTCCCTACACCATTTGTCCAAAGCTTCCCATAGCTGCTCCCAGAGGGGGCAGCACTGCTGCTGCTGCTGGGCCCACCTCCAAGGTCAGGGGAGCAGCTGCCGCTGGGGGACATCATCATGTAGCCATTGGGGTCCACTCTCTGGGGATGGCGTCTGATGGGGTTGATGATCTGCTGGGGGGCAGACACGCTCTTGGGGCTCATGGGCATATAGTCTCCACTGCCCTTTCTGCTGCCGGGCACTGGGGCCACCCCCGGGGACATGGGCATATAGCCATCGTCGGTGTGGAGGGTGGAGGTATCTGGGCGGTGGTGGCCACCCTGAGGCTCCAAGGGGTGCATTTCCAGACCCTCCTCCGGGTAGGAGTGGGTGGGTACGAAGGCGGAGTGCCGGTGGCCCGGCAGTCGGCCTCCACTGCCACCTCCTGGTGGGTAGGCAGGCATCATCTCTGTATACTCCTCAATGGAAGCCACTGAGGACTGGGACGGGGTCTTCTGGTGGGAAATGGTAGGGGATGTGCCTGCCGAGTGAGTTCTCTTTCGGAACCGATTATCCAGATCTGCAGCACTGGCTGCTTCATCCCCAGCCAAGGCTGGACTGGTGCCCAAGCCAGCTCCTGGGATGTAGCGGTGGCCATTGCCACTCCGAGACAAAATGTAGTGACCGTTGGGGGCGGTCAGGGTGGAGGCCCCCTTGCCGCCCATGCAGATATAGTTGCTCAGCTCCTCTTCACCACGGGCCGGTGGGGTGTGGCCCAGGGAATCTGGAGTGACACTGCGGAAAGAACTTCGGAAATCGCAGGGACTGGAGCCATACTCATCAGAGGAGATAAAACCGCCGTCGCTGGGGGACCCGGACACAGAAGCACTAGACCGCCGTGGGAACAGACAGTCTGAGGTGGAGCCGTGGCCACTGGTGCTGCTGGACGACAGACTCACGGGGCTGGTGGCCGAAGGCGAGCAGCGAGAAGAAGGCATGGGGATAGAGCGGCTGTGGTTGAGCGGGGGGTGCAGCCGGGCGCTGCCCCGATGCCGGTGGGCGTGGGTCCTGTTGGTGCTAGGACTCACAGGGCTGCCGTCCACAGAGGCCGGGCGGGACATGGTGCCTTCCCCGTCGCTGGAGGCGCGGACGCGAAAGGAACCTGGCTTCCCGCCCACCATGCTGGCTGGAGAGGTGGCGGTGATGCTCTCCGTGCGCGATCGGCGGGTCAGCCCCACCTGGCTGGGCGGGGGGTTGTTGAGATGGTGCCTGCGCAGGGGGACGCTGATGGGGTTGGAGCAGTTGGATGAGGACTGGCTCTTGCTGCGAGGGCGAAACTCATCACTCATGGCCCGCATGGCCTCCAGGATGGTCTCGTGCATGTTCTGGGCCACCACCGAGTCATCCACCTGCATCCAGAACTCCCCGGGCCCCGTCACGGCGGAACGGCCCACCTCGATGAAGAAGAAGTTCTCCGAGTGGCCGCAGCGCCTGATGTTCATTAGCTGCAGCACCACGGCCGCTGCCTCCGAGTTCAGCTTCACGAAGCTAATGGTCTTGCTGGTCAGGCAGAGGCGGTAGATGCCAATCAGGTTCTTTGTCTGACCCAGGCCCTTGGGCTTCAGGATCACCTGCCAGACCTCTTTGAAGGCGGGTCCTGGGGGCGCATCCCCGTAGCTCAAGTCCTCCCCAGCCTCGCCCAGGCCAGAGCTGCCGCTGCAGCTGCCCCCGCCGCCCCCCACCCCGGGGGCTGCAGCCCCATCGTGGTGGCCCTTGGCACGGTTGTGCAGCTGCAGGAGAGCCTGGTACCAGCTGTCTTGCTCGGCCTCGCTGTCCGCGGCGATGGCAAAGTGCTCGTCCCGGGTATAGAGAGCCACCAGGTGCTTGTTCTTGGAGTCAGCCCGCTTGTTGATGTTGAAGCAGCTCTCAAGGGGGATCGAGCGTTTGGGGGCGCTCGACTTGTGCCGCCACTTCTTCTCGTTCTCGTAGTACTCCAGGCGAGCTGGGCCCCCAGCCTCGCTGGCCGCCCGCAGCACGAAGAAGCGCTTGTGCATGCTCTTGGGTTTGCGCAGGTAGCCCACCTTGCGCACGTCCGAGAAGCCGTCGGTCTCCGGAGGGCTCGCCATGCTGCCGCCGCCACCGCCGCCGAGCAGAGGGAGGCGCCGAAAAACAACTGGGTAGGGGGCGGAGGCTCCTCGCTGCGGCCTCGCACATGCAAACAGGGCTGGAAGTCGCAGAAACCCCGACTCCGAAATCCACGCCGCCCCCCGCGCCGGGGAGGGGCAGCCAGAGGAAGACGCAGCAGCTGCGCCGAGATAGCCTGAGCGGAGTTCACGGGCGTTTCACGCCCGGGGGGGAGGCAGTGCGTCCGGGGTGAGTGCAGCCGCGATCCTCCGGGGGCCAGGTCTCCTCTCAGCCGCCGTGGTGGGGAAGGAGCGAAGATGCATCTCTCGCTGCCCCGGCGGGAGTCCAGCGCAGGGAGGCGGCGCCGGCCCGGGGTCCCTGCGTTGCCCCTTCAGGCGCGCGCGCGCCTTCCCTCCTGAGTTCCCCTCTGGAAGTAGCGATTCCCGAGGCAAATTAAATATCCTTGGGCAGGGGGAGGCGGGCTGCCAAGTCCCAACGTTGCACGGGGTTCTCCCGCCTCCTCCTTCGCCTCCTCCTCCGCCTCCTCCCACCCCCCAACCGTCCCCGCCGCCACCAGCCGCCCAAATACCAGCTCAATCGCAGAGACCGCGGCGCTGCGGCTGTTGCTGCTGCTGCTGCTGTCGCCGCCCGCGGGCGCGTCCTCTGCAGCCCCCATTCGGGCCCATCTCGGCGGGCGGAGAAAGTGGCTTTTCCACGCGAAACGTTACCGGGGAGCCGGGGACAGGCCGGAGGGACAGGCTCATCCCTGCCCCTCGCTCCAGTCGGCAGGGGAGGAGGGGAGGGGACAAGGGCGGGAGGCGAGGGGGAGGTTTGGGAAGGATTCGGGAAGACGCCTGTTCCCCGCGAGGCGCTGCCGCTGCAGTTACTTCTCCCCTCCTTCTCCTCCTCCTCCTCCTCGGAGAGTTGCCGAGAGCCCCAACCAAAACAAGCGGCGGCGTCTGGCTCTGCGCGCCGGCCCCCTCCGACCGCGCCGCCGTCTCACTCGGAGGAGAAAAACACGTGACGGAGCCTCCGCGCTCGGCAGCCGGGTCGCCGCCGCCGGGAGGCTCCCGCCCGGGTCTCTACATTCCGGGCCGAGCCCGCCCCGCGCCCGCCCTTCTCCGCCCCCCGGCCGTGCCGCAGCAGCGCCCGCGAGGGCCCCGGCGCAGCGCTAGGACAGCGCCCCTGCGCGGCCGCCCGCCCGGGCGCAGCGCCTCCCGCCCCGCGCGCCACCCAGGGCGCCCCTGGCCCGCAGGAATCCCCGCGGCTGGCGCGGGCGGGGGTGTTTGGGTGGTTACCCGAAAGCACGAGGGGAGTCTGGGAAAACGGGAGGGGGGCGAGCTGGGGAAGACGCAGGAGTGAGGGTAGGGGACGACGGGGGGGCACTGCGGCGGCAGAGCCCCGAGTGGGAGGGCGGGGGAGAAGAGGGCGCGGGAGCTGGGCTGGATCTTACCTAGCAGGTAAGATCGACCTCTGGGAGCAGGTTTCTGGTCAAGGCTTTTTCTCCTAGGAAATATAAAAGCCGGATTTCGGTTTCAGGGTGATAGGCCATAGTGAGGAGACCCATATTTTCGTAAGGAAGGGACCTCTGGGCCAGCGTTCCACCTTGGAATCACCGGATTTGCTGCCGTGAGGTACTTCCAAAGAGCGGAGGGACACCCAAGGGCAGTGATTGCGGGGAGTTATGGTCACTCTAAAAGGAGAACAGGGATCCCCAGGAATCGTCTCGCGTCCCGCGCAGTGGGATTAGCTGCTGATCAGTTAGGGAGAAAATGCAAATATCATTTTCGTGCTCTCCCCTTGCCCACCGACCGAGAGGGCATTCACACCTGAGGGTGAGCGCTGAGGGGAAAATGAGATGCCCCTTATCATATTCCGAAGTCTGTTTGTGATTTTAAAAAGATGTTAGGAACCTACAGAGGGTTCATAAGGCCAAAACCCTACTGCGCAAATATTGGCTGAAATGTTTGTTTCACAAACAGCTTCCACACCCATTGAACCACCCTATAAATTTTTAACCTTGACCACAAGGATAATCGGGAGAAAACAAGGATGGTGCCAGCTCAACTATGCAGGAAAATGGGTACTTCATGAGCAGAACAGGTCAGCAGCCTGGGTCTTCTCGGAGAGCCTCTTACACGGTTACCTTGCGGTATCAGTCTCCCCACAAGCAAACGCTCCCCTAAGTTTTGGGGTTTTTTTAAAGCTGACCTATAAACAAGCAGTTTGTTCCTGCTTGCTTAGCTGGCATTAAGGACCTACAAAGATGACGTTTGTCATTCTGTTTAATGCTATCTTATTTCTCCACTCTATTCCTGGCCGGTGTGGGGTTTCCGCCCCCTTTCTACTCCCGGGACCCTCCTCAGCCTCCAGCGCTCAAGCACTGCAGGATGCTGGCAGGGACACGCTGCAGTCCGGGCGCTGGGCATGCTCAATGGCCAGGACGCGCTGGGCTGCCGGGGAGCGCGCCTGGGCCTAATGCGGTGAGGGGCGGGGCGAGTTTCCTGGGGAAGCCTGCTGATTGGTGGGGCTGCCTGTCGTTCAAGCCTTGCACTGCAGAAGGGGAGGTGGGGAGAGGGGGTTAGGGTACCAAGGTAGGTTGCAAAGCGTAGTAGGAAAAAAAAAAAGAAGAAGAAGAAGAAGAAGAAGAGGAAGGAGAAAAAGAACCATAGGCGCCATTCAGAGGCGTGCGATACGTGAACTGGGGGATCCGGCATCTACACAGGGGGACTCCCCACCGAAGCCTGGGAACCTCTCATTTTTCCTCTCACCTTCTTGTTCCCTGCCGTCCTGCAGCCTCATCTAAGCCTGGTTAATCTATAATTTGAGTATATATGTTGAATTGAAAGCCCTCCCTCTTTTTCCCTCTGACAGCTTAGTGATGTGGGCACACGTGCCCACTACAAGGCTATAAATAGCAGATATTTGGAAATGGTAGCAAGGCAGCAATAACAGCGACTGAAATTCTGGGGTATAGAGTGCTTTATAGGGGGCGGGGTAGGGAGATGCGGAATAGAGACGCCTGAAGTTAGTGGAAAAGTGTAACTGTGCTTGGTTTTACCCTAGGCAAGAAACAAGAGAGATAATAAAAGGGTTGTTTACTAGTAACAATGTATTCTAGATAAGGCCAAAGGGCTTTTTACAGGTTTGATGTTTAGCGCTGGAACGGGGGTGAGGGAGTACTTCACATTTTGTAGGAAAACAATTCAAATCCATAGATTTTTACTGTTCACATGACTCCGTCCCTACCTTCCCTCTCACCCCAAAAGAAGCTAAATACAGGGACTGTACCGCTATGGGAAACAAAATACCCTGTCCTTTCAGGAAACCAGATTGCTGTGACAAATTCTGTTCAGACCGATGGGTTTCCTAAGGAAGATGACCACTGATCATAGGATGTTATTGCCATTTTTTCTACTTTCTGACGTTTTACCACCGACGTTCAAGGTGGTTAATGTTTATTTTAATTATACTATAGTAAGTTCAATTGTTCTCTACATTTTTTTTATTAATGGGTTGAGATAACTCTGGAAATGCAAATTTACGTTTGGTTTATATAATACACAGAATAGAAAGAAGCTTTTGTGGAATCTAACTGAAGTAATGCCGAGCAGGTACGAGTATTATCCTGTCACCTTACGCTAAATTAGTCTTGTGGTGTATTGTAATGAAATACACTGTATGAAAAATTTACTCGCTGAAAATTCACAGGAACGGAAAAGCAACCTATTACCAAAATACGTTGCTCAATGCTGCCATCTAAGGGACAATCGGAGCCGATTTGCGTAGCACGGTAAAGTGCATTTTAAAAGAGGGCTGAAATGATTCATCAGAATATTGCTTGCTACAGCTATGTTGATATCACAAATACAGTTACGATTCAAGGAGTTAAAATTTTACATGCCATGGGCGCACTTTTGAGCAACATGTCTACAATTCTCTTTAAAGTGGAATTATTGGCCTATGTATGATACTACCAAGAAAATTTTACAAGAGGCAGGGGTGGGAAGCCTGTGGCCTTCAGGCCACATGTGGCCTTCTAGGTCCTTAAGTGCGTTTCAGTCAAAAGGCCACACTTAAGGACCTAGAAGGCCACATGTGGCCTTAAGGCTGCAGTTTCCCCATCCCCGAGTAGGTTATTACATATATCCCTAAAGTGCTTGAGTTGGGTAAAGGTGTAACTAATCATGTGAAAATGAGAAAGCATTTCTTCTGTCAAATAGATGCTTTCCTTAAGATGAATGGGTCAAGGCGAAAGGAGCTGTTTAAACATTGGCATCCCTTAGAATTAATTTAGGCAATTTAGAACAATGCTTGAAGGAAAATCAAAACTAGTGGATTTTATCATTTATGGTTTATTTTTATTTTAAAATAATAGTAATAAATATTTGAATGCCTACTCTGCAAGGCAATATGAAGTATGTAAAAAGAGACAGTGGCTTCTTATAGCTTTGATGGGGTAATAAGAGTGATAGTATAAAATAAAGATAATTGATGACCAAAGTGTGTGTTAAATGTCAAATAAGTGGTATTTACTTAGAGCAGATGGACATCATGGTAGACAAAATAACTAAAGAAATCTTTATGGAGAAGAGTCTTAAGCTTAAACTTGAAGGGTGGCTATAACTCAGATGAGTGAGAGGCAGATTTTTCTCCCATTCAAGTTTTTTTGGAGCCTCTACTTGTGTTTCAGGCATTAGGCTAGGCACTGAGGATTTATCTGTCTAAGGTATGATCCTACCCACAGGAAGATGAGTGAACACAAATACAGAGCACTATAGTCTCTTATGGAAAAAGTAAGCAAAAACGAATGAGATCACATGACAACCCATTGCCTTCTGACTTAAAAATTATCTATCAGTCACAGACAGTACAATTTAATAGTCTGTAAGATATTAATATCTTCTCTTAATAACTTTGTTTTCTCATGTAATTAAAACCTTTCATCCTTTTAGACTGAAAACTGTGAAATGGTAAAAATAATAGTAAGCTGAAAAGCCACATTTGGCTTGATAACTTGCTAGATCAGGACTGTTTAGACCTGGGGATCTTGTTAAAATGCAGGTTCTGATTCAGAAGGCTGAGAGCAGGCTGAGGTGCTGAATTTTAAACACACTGGAGGAGATGCTGGTTCTGGGTAGGCACCACCCTTTCAGTAGCACAGTTGACTGATGATTAATTGAAAGGCACAATGATACGGTGCTGTGAAATACAAGCAGGGTACTTACAGGTTAGTATTATATACATCCAAAAAGAACAAGCGCAATAAAAATTCTATTAATTACTTAACTGAGGCATCACTGTGTTTGGGTCTTCTCTCTTCTCAATCACAGATATCAAATCTTTCTGACAAGCGTGAAGAGTTATTCTCTCTCTTAAATGTTTATGTTAGTGTTTTTCAAGGTGTGATTAAAAATGCATCTTTCTTACCTTATCCAAGTCCTACTGAACCAAAATCTCTTAGGGAAAGATGGACCCCTAGTATGTGCATTTTAAGCAGCATTGCAAGAGATTCTTACTTACACTAAAATTTAAGAATCATTGGCTAAAGCACAAAGGAAATTTTTTTATTAGATACTGCGACAATAGGCAAATGCACAACCTTAAGCAGTAAACGAGGTCTCCAACTGTGGGAAGTTTAGAATAGGCAATGACCCAAGCTTGGGTAAGTCTCAGGGCCTTTAAGAAAAATCAACTCCTGGTAATCAGCTAGTGAGAATCGAGTTCTACCCTCATCTTGATTTCACCCTTCATCTATCCTGGAGAACTTAGGGAAAATAAATGCACTGAGATCTAACAGAATTTCAGAAAGACAGTAATGCCCTCAACTGATGATTTCAAAACATTTTCTGCTTGGGGTATAAAGAAAACATGAGATCAACAGGGATGAGTTTGGAGCAAAGGGAAAAGGTGAAAACCCCATGCCACTATTTAATTTTTTCCATTTTAGAAATTCCAGTTGGTGGTATTTTGAAAAAGTCCCTAGCTGATATTTGTCTGAAAGAATTGCGTTTTCT